CTCTCTCTCTCTCTCTCTCTCTCTCTCTCTCTCTCTCTCTCTCTCTCTCTCTCTCTGTGTGTGTGTGTGTGTGTGTGTGTGTGTGTGTGTGCTGCGGTGTACTGCAGCTGCTTTGTGTTAGCGCTGAAGCCCTATCTCCTTACCGCTATCGTCGACTACAGCTACTACAACGAAGAGTACTGCTATGATACCTGTGTGAATGTCTGTCCGTCTACGGGCAATCCAGCTATAAATAGCGCTGGGACTGCCTGGAGGCCGACCATCATGCCAGGGCCTCTACCGAATGGGCGCCAAACTCAAACCTGTGGCGCCAACGGTCTTGGTGCCTAAACTGCCGCAGACCCGAAACAGGGTCTGCGCGAAACTGGGCCTACCTGGGCCAGAATGGCCCTGGTACTGTTCGAGGGCCTGGTGCTAACTGAAACGTCGTGCCAGGCCTAAAATCGGGTCCTGGTCCTACCCTGACCCTACGGGCCCCAATGAGGGTCGAAACGGCACTATCCCAGACTACTGCTAACTCCTACTAACCCTTATACCTACCTGAACAGCCCCGGCAGGGCCCGTGTGGTACAGTGTATGCCACACCAGCCCTGATTGAAGCATAGTCGGACGAGCCCTGTTGTATCGGTAATTAGAGCGCTAGGGGTAGACATTCTCTTACAAGGGATAGACATTCTATTACAAGGGGTAGACATTCTATTACAAGACCCATAGGTGACCTTTTTTTCCTTGTTAGAGAGATCCTAGCCTTATCACCATCAGATCCCTCTGGTTATTATATTGAATTCTATGTTCTTGAACCCTTTCCTATTGGAGGTCGTTCTAACCTAGCGCATCTCCAGTTCCCATCCTCAGCAGGCTCACAGCCACCATCCGCTCCCCTTACCTCTATCATCAATTTGGTCTCTAGTCAATTTTTAGTGTCCTCCAGAGTATCTCTAGTTTCCGTCCTCAGTGGGTTGACAGCCACCATCTGCTCCCCAATATCTATCATCAACTAGACCTACTCTGGACTACTCCAATCTTACTGTGTTCTCCATGCAGGTAGCAGACCACCCTCGCCCCTTGAGACAACCTCCAGGGCGGGCTCCCCGACAACATCCTCCACTGGAGCCTATCCCACCTCTACTCCTACCAATGGGACCGCTAAGACATCCCCTACTGGGGTCATCAGTGCGGTTGGGGCTGTTACGGAGCATCCCTTCCCCAACCCGTTGCCCTTCTTGGGGGCTGTCCTGCTGATCGGGAGGCTTTACTAGCCGCACCCAGTCACACAGCAGGATGGTCTCCAGAAGAGCAGGGCATGGGGGGGGGGGGGGGGGGAGTTCCTTGCAGCCCCTCAGGCCACATATCTGTTTGCCCACGTCATATCCTTGTCTCCTCCAGCATGTATCCACATATCTGATTCTAAACGGTCCTTGCCCTTCTCTGATCGTGAATAGCCCCTTGCCTCTTCATTCCTGTCTGCTTATTTTACATAGTGTCCTGCATCGGCCTAATTAAGTACACCCTATGTCCATCCTCCCTTTACTAAACTGCCCCATAGCAGTGCCTTTACAATGTGTCCTTTATTGAGAGTGTTGGCCCCAACGTGCTCATTATTCCTAGCCATGCTGACAGAGAAAAAAACAAAGTGTAATAGCTAGCATTAGAAGGTATTTTGTTCTTTCGTCCCCCTGCAGCTGTTGATCCCGCACTGCTGAAAAAGGTTAAACCACCAGTACTTCCTAAACTGCTGACAGAGAAAAAAACAAAGTGTAGTAGCTAACATTCGAAGGGATTTTGTTCTTTCGTCCCCCTGCAGCTTTCCCGCACTGCTGAAAAAGGTTAAACCACCAGTACTTCCTGAACTAGTGCCCCTTAACAAGCCACGCTTTTAGGAAACGTGTGGGCCACCACAGGAGCGCCCAAATTCATTGGACTAGAGACGTTTCTACTTTATTTTTTCCCACGACCGATAGCTCGGCCAAGTACTGGTGGTTTAACCGTGCAAGATAGTCAACAGCAAGAAACTTCCACAGTGACCTCCAACTCTGTGGTGGGGAACACGGGGGATTGCTTCAGGAGTTTCCGGGGCGCTGTACCAAGTGCAATTCTGACTTGACTTAGTGGCCGACCAGTGCCATTTCATGCCCACCTATTTGCCTCAATGTAATGTTGTGTGCAATTGTACATGAGAAGGAAAAGGGGTGCGACAAGCACCACACGACGACTACTGATGACGATGACAAGAGTGACAATCACAACAAGAACAATAATGACGATGATAAGAATGAATTTCAATGAAAGCAATAAGGAAGACAATAATGAGAACCATGATGACAAGAAACAGCAGGAGAGTAACAAAGATACTCTCTCTCTCTCTCTCTCTCTCTCTCTCTCTCTCTCTCTCTCTCTCTCTCTCTCTCTCTCTCTCTCTCTCTCACTCACACACACACACACACAAGCAAGCTGTCCCCCCCCCCCCGCCCCCCCCGTCTCTCCCTCCGTGTCCATCCCTGCATCTCTCAGTGCATTTGGCTCTATGTGTTTGTCTGTGTATGTGTTGGTCCTCCTCCCACTTGTGATCAGCAAATACCCCCCAGAATCACCAGGCAGATAAAACATCAGAAAGTGCAAGACTTTCCCATTCAGTGCGGCTGAGCAAGTGCCCACACATCCATCTGGTTGATGCACTATAGAAGGCAGCACATGCAGTATAAAAGACAACAACACTGCGTACAGTTCCCTCGATGGATAAGGCTTCCTGCAGTCAAGCCGTGTGCTGCAAACTCTGGTTTCAGTACCGCCCAATAGCGGGCGGTTCTCCTTGCGAGATATTTGCGTTGATCAACGCTCATCGCACACCATGCGCGTGGCCGCCCTCACCACATTAACTGGCGCTGCGAAACCGGTGGAGAACCGGCTCTGCACGGGCCCCGCAAATCAATCCGCCCCATCCGATGGCCAGTGAGCGGCCTACTGTCCTCCCGGTGCAAAACCGGCTTTCTGGCAAAACTGGCGGTCTGACCATGCACTCAGCCCGCACACGGGAAGACAAAAGAAAAAAAGCAAGTCCCCCATGTCATCCAATAGCAGAAGAACTGCTGGTGAGCGCACCATGGAGCCCTAATCAAGCCCCTGGCTAATCATCCGGTTCATATACAAAGGGAGGCCAGAGGTGACTGATACTTCGGTGCCCCCCTGGAGTAAGCACGTCAAACTCCTCCTCCTGCTGTGTAATTACTCATCCTATAGCCGAAGCCGGGTAATGGCCCTGGTTGTATAAAAAAGATGTAATCTGGGATGCTCGACCCGGTTTCCAGCAGGTGCAGCTCCCCACCAATAGATTGGAGAGACCAGTGGTAGGTTTCTCATATCACCCCTCCTCGTAGACTGAAGCTGGTTAAGAAAAACGGGAATCGAGCCTGGGACCTGTGAGTGGGAACTCTGTTAGCTCGGCTTAGGATTTTCCCCTAGGCAAAGAGCAGAGGTAGTTTGACAGAAGTAGCGAGTAGGTGGCATTCTCACCAAGTTTTCAATGTGTGTGGGTTGTAGTGGGAAATGAAACATGGTACACTATTTTTAGCTCTGCGAGAGGAGAGATTGGGTGCAGTCCTAGGCAATGTGTTCCAGCTGTATAGTGTGATGTTCACAGCAGCCATGCGCCCAAGTGGACATCACATCATTATTGTTTCTCAGCTTCATCAGCTACTCTGGTGCGAATGATCAAGTTCAGTTTGCGTGATCTTACCAATCAAGTGTAATTTGCTTTCAATTATGTACGAGGGACGAACATGCTGGAGTCGGTTCAAGTTCTGGCAAAGTCCCGACCTGTACCTCCCAAGTTATTCCACAGAGTCAGACTAGAGTCAAGCCGAATAGGCTCTCCTTTCACTCCCAATTCCTCTAACCCCGAAGGTCATAGGGGAGGTTCAGCATTTCTTTTTTCCTTGGGGGGACCAAGGGGAGAGGGGGGGCGTTAATCCCCTCAAGCTGCAAAAACACATGAATCAAAATGTTATGTGCAATAAAAAAGAGTTAAACCACCAGTGCGTCTGAGCCCCGTTTTCCTCAGGTGGATTGCCGTCATTAGCCAAGTCCAGCCAAACCGGCATGGCGAGCAGCCCCCCTTTTCCGTCCAGTAGGCCCGAGCCACAATTTTTTCCTTTTTTTTATTAGACGGTGACGCCCTTGGGATATCATCATGGAGCTGACCGACCCCAGGTAACCAAGAATTTCATTCAAGTATTCCCATTGGGATTCAAACTCACGTCTGTTTTTCAACAGTTCATAGGGTGTAGCAACTGAGGTAGACCCACGATTTTGCAATGTGTTAAACGCCACATCCACATTCTCAATGTTTCGAGCTCGTATGATCATCCCTTTATCATTTCTGCTTGTTGTCATGTCAATGCTGCGTTTTGTTGTTTTCCTCATCGGAATCTTTGAGGAAGGATTAAGGCCCTTTGACTTGGGTGCAGCGAACCCATCACTATACTGCCATGAAGGCAGGTACCGCGGTGCCGTTCTACTGACTCGAGTTATGCCCCACGACTTGGCCAAATGGCCCAAAAGTCCTCAACATTTCTATCTGAATTACTGTCAAAGAGGATGCATTAAGGCCCTTTGGCTCGGATGCAACGAACCCATCACTATGTTGCCGTGAAGGCAGGTACCAACCTGTCTACCAGCTTGAGTTACACCCCAAGACTCGGGCAAATACCCGAAGGCCCTCAAGGTGGTTCACACTCTGCAAGACCTCGTGGAATACATGCGGTATGCGGAAGCTTGAATATATATGATACGGCAGAAATCGCGGGACCCCAAGGATTCCGGTTGAGGAGGTACCGGCTTGTTGTCGGGGGCCCCATATATTGGGGCATGATCGAACAAGTGCAATACCAAAGGGGACCCGGAGCTGCCAGAACATCTTAGCAAGGATGTCGGTGGTGACTAGAACAGGGACAGAGCCCCTGAAAGACCAAGGGGCAAAGGGTTGAGGCCATGTTCTGTTGCTTGGTTTCCTCATGTCGGAAGGATGTCGAGTGGGACTAGAACAGGGGCTCCGGACGGAGCCCCAAAAAGAAAAGGGGCAGAGGTTTGAGGCCGTGTGGACTGCATGTTCTATTTGCTCGTTTTGCTCGTGCTTGTTCCACCCCGCTCGCATTAATGTTAAACCACCAAGGGGCAAAGGGTTGAGGAAATGTGGACTGCATGTTCAATTGCTCGATTTGTTTGTGCTTTTTTCCACCCCGCTCGCATTAATGTTAAACGACCACTCCATTCCCAGCTTCTTTTTCAGTGTCACTGAGCGTACCACCAGTACGTTTCCCAGCTACTTTTCCAACTACTTTTTTGGACATGTACAGCCGCCTCGCGACTCTCAAGAGCTACCCGGACACCGTATCGCCGGATATCCATCCAGGCAAAAACGGGTCACATGCGGGCCCCGTTTTGCCTGAAAGGATATCCAACGAAAAGCCACCCCGATACTTCCGGAAAGTTGCGCCTGAACTGGTGGTTTAAAGTCATTGGGGCCAACTCTGCAGGAGCGGACCGACCCCTAGGAGGTACATAAAACAAACTATATGCACACCAAGGGATTAATATGACCCTATCCTGATGATGTAAGGGGTAATCCTGCAGCCGCACAGGGCTGAAGGATAGTTGCGAGCATGGATAACCATGCAAGTAATAGGTTTGGGGGACTCCCCCTAAAGACAAACGAATGCTTAGGAGCTCTCAATAAACCCTTGCACTGCATGTTGATTAGGAGGCTCAATTGCTTGAGAACAACCCAAGTGAAAGGCAGCTGAGACCAAAATCCACCCACCTCGACGACAAGAAGATAATAGCAACCATAGCTTCCCTATCTTCTCGTTCAACCAGTTCGCTTTCGTTCCTTGGAGGATGACAGTAGCAACAATAACTTCCCTATCCACACCGTGTGTCCTTCATTTTAATGAACAAAAGTACTGACATTAACCATGTGTCCAGGTTCTCATCTTTCTCGTCTCCCATGAACGGCAGGCTCAACCCTGGTGGTCTCAGGTGTCCGTGTAGTGCTAGGAAGTTGTGATGACGGCCCTGCAGCTACCAGCGGCAGAAGTGAAGAAGGCAGTATTGAGATCTGGGGTTCCTGGACCCAGTTTCCGGCAGGTGTAGCTCCTAACCAATCGATTGGTGCGGCCAGCGGAAGGCCTACTCCCACTAGTAGCCCGAGGCTGGGTTAAAAGAAAAACAAAAAAAAAAGGAGGAATATGGGGTTCACAGTTAGATTACGTGATGGGGTAGCACCATTGGACCACCACGTACCTGTGGTCTTGGTCCTGGAGGCCTGTGTGGAAAGGAAAGCAGTGGACGATACAGGCAGTTCCGTCTGTGTCTGCAGTGAATCCTGCAGAATGTCGGCAGACTGTCCATCTTGCTACCAAGGGAGCACCCCCCGTCAAAAAGGCCCAGTATTTTACTACCCAACATCTGACCTCCCATACTGTCATCCTGGCGCTTGGCCTTATCCTTCTCTACCTCCAGCCCTCTAGTAGGGCTTTCCATGCCATAGCTTCATTTTCTTCCCTGCGAACATCCACTGGCTCATTTTCTATCCTTACCCGGAGGGCAGTAGCATCTGCCAGATCTACCGCACTGGGCTGAGGTGCTTGTCTCACTGTAGGCCCTGTACACTCTGGCTTCCTGAAGCCCCACTTGTCTGGCTAGGAACAGTCTTCTTAAGTTCTCTCTAGTGGCCTGTCTTCTTCAGTTCTCTCTAGTGGCCTGTCTTCTTAAGTTCTCTCTAGTAAATGTCCCCAAGGTATTGGTGCACTAAAGGCCGTTTCTCTAGCTTGGAGAGATAAAAAGTGTGTGTGTGTGTGTGTGTGTGTGTGTGT